TGACTAAGTCACGGTTTAAGTAAAAGGAATAAATCAAAACTAGCAATATTCAGGCACCAAAAAAATCTTATTTCACTTACATATCTTAAAGCTGTATACTCGGTACCAAATAGACATTAGAATATATCCCCAGTACATATTACAAGACTGTTTTTGTATTCAGGTTTTATCTAGTAGCGGCGTAAAACTTTCGACACAACTCCATAATTAAGAATATTCACTCTTTACTGTGAACGAGGACTTTCATGTAGGTCAAACATGAAGAATCATTCTATTAGTCAGTTAGCCATAATCGGCATAGAACCTGGGGTAAATGAGCGTTTGCCAAGTTGTCACACTCCATTAGCTCAACGGGATGAAATTAGTAAGACGAATAACATTGGATGTAAATTGGTGTGCTATCACTCAAAACTAGGAACTAAATATTGAGAATATGAATTGAGGGGAGAAAGTGTAAAGATGTGAGAAAATACCGGCATTGGTTATCGATAGAAAGGTAAAGAGTTAATGCGTCAGTGTCATTAAGAGAAACTTTGAACAGCGTTACCCAGTTTCTAACTAATGGTCGTGATTATCTGGCGTACCCAACGTTGGTCAGAACAACGGTCAATCATTTCAAAGGCTCTCATATCTTTTTTGGCCACCTCGAGCTTTTTTCTAACATCGCACGTCGACGTCACTGTTGGGTTCACGTATCATACGTTCCAGACATCTAATTGGCTGACAATTCAGTTTTATCAACCGATGATATCCTAGCCTTAACCTCATGACTTTTTACTTGGTGTTGAGTGATACCTCAGCTTCCAAGATATCTATGATCGAAAACCTGCAATCCACACATATCTTCTACTTGGATAGACTATGCTTTTATCATTGAGATTCATGAAATCTTTATCGACAAACGATTGTTCGTACATGTTCACATCTTAATTTAAGCTTTTAATAAAAGGTGAAAATGGGAAAGTGTAGATTGTGCTCCTGATTCTTATCAGTTCACAAAATATTATCCATAAAAGCTAATATAAGTATGGAGAAAGGAACAAACGAAATGAACTGCCTACTTAATATTATTGTGAGCAGAAAAATGAAGATCAGAAGTCTTAATTGTGTTAAATACAAGTTTTATATTGACTGGTGTGAAGTGTCTGTACATCTGAACTTGTTTCAGAATCAGATCAACTGTGAATAGAAAAATTCTAAGCCAGATATGAGAATAGAAACTCTCCCCCTGGTTTTCTGTTAATACAACTCAGCTACAGATGGGACTTATTAAATATTCTATCTTTTCAGACGCAGTGTTTATCAAGCTTATTTTTATGACTACCAAAAAGAGATTTCATTTACTTTTTAAAAAAAGTATTAAACCAGTTAACAAAATTAACCCTCACAATTTATAATCAGACTAATATCAACTTCCCGATTAATTAAGGATCATCATTCCGAAAGCTACATAGAACCGTCTAAAGCACCAATTATCTACTAACACTACATTTCCCAAACTCATAGGCAAATTATTGGCGGTTAAAACTTTTAGGTCAGTATTCTGACCAAAGAGTCAAAAAATGAAAGTTACCTGAAAGTTTAACCTAAGATTTCTCAAAATTGCTAATCCATTGCTTCCGCAGTTTACTTTCCTCGAACGGGTTACTGAACATCAGAAATCAATCTTAAAAATACTGTAAACTGTCACATTATGAATGAAACTGTTACTTTCAATACTCACATTACAACTTCAATTATTACCGAGGTGTCAAGTCATTTGTGTATTGGCTCCTTATTTTCTAGTGTTTACAAGCAATGAAGAAAAATGCATTATGCCCTGATGTTGTTTAACATTTACTAATCTTAAGTAACAGACCACCTCTCAATTTTATTTTAAATTAAGATAAATGTAACGCTTAAACAATGTTGCAATGAATTCACTCGGTATTGTTTGCTTGTATCTTCCGATTGTTGTTTAGGACTGCAATTGATCAGTCTCTTGTTGGCCTATGAGAATCCTGTGCAGACTGCCTCAATATTGATTTAAATCACAAGCTTGGTAAGCAAGGATGGATGGTGGCTAGCAGTGGAATCCAGGACGTACGTTGTGTCCTATTTGGGACTCGTCATCTGCATCCCAGAGTTGAAGTTCACTTCGAAACTCGAACCCAGTACCGTTCGCTTGATCTCCTTATCTGAGATGCTACCAACATTTACCTGGACGCACAAAAACGTGGGTGCCTGAACTAAATCATGATCGTTGTTCGGAGAAACAGTGACCACTTATAAACCTTATATAAATGTAAGTCGTAAAGATGTAAGCTACGTAAGATGCTCATCAGTCGCCTTTTTGTGGTAGATAATAAAAAGTACGAAAGGTCAACTGTTACAACAAAACTGTATTACACAATCACTACTTCTAGTGTTTTGAATCAAAATAAAGAAGAATATCTTACAAAGTATTTTTCTCCTCAAGCATTGAAATCATTGCTTTACAAGACTAATCTTGGAATAAAAAGTTTACAATTCAATATCAAAGCCCAGCTGGAACCAAGGTTGTCAGATTTGTACATGATCACTGTGAATATTATTCATAGCTTCTAGCAGAACTTATAACCTACATCACTTAAAATTCAATCAGTATGGGTGAGTACAAAGACTGAAAACAAATATCGTCTTCTTAAGTTTACCTTTAAGCAACTTAAAAATCAGTGAAATTTTAAGTCACCTGGTTTAAAACTTATTTTAAACGGTTAAGGTGTACTGATTCTCTTCTGTTTCTATGATATCCCTCTGATATGACTGGTAAGAATTCAGATCGACAGTCAGGTCTTAATTTAATTAGTTGGTGAATGACCTGAAAAATTACCATCCTCCGATAGCAAATATGGAATCCTATAAAATTCACTTCCTTATATATTTTGTATACAGACATTATATTTTATAAAAGAAACAAATCTATTTTACAGAGCAATTGTACATTGCTTTGATATCAGTTGACTTGAGGCTTATACATAAAACTTGATCTTATAAGTAACTGTAAGTCCGCCAAATAGTATGGCTTTCCCTCCTCTGGGAGTCAGCACTCTACTCACTAATCTTAGCAATCCCAAAGTGTGCTTATAATGTGCCAGTTCTCCTGAATTTTTCCTCCATAACAATGACGAAACTCTATTTTGAGGTGTCGATTGCATTGTTAATGAGTTTGTAAACTACCTTTCGTGAAACACCCTCGCATACTAAAGAACTAGTAGATTTAAGAATAGTGACTGAAGAGAAGAAAGACAGTATTTCTATGATATCTCCTAGTTTAGTTAGTGGTACAACATAAAAACTTTCTTCGTCGTCCAATGATTCATATTATGACCAAGTTAGTTTGAAACTTTCCAAACGAATATGGGCATATGATAGATGAAGGAATAAGTCCTCCTACAAGTGTTACTATAATGGAACAACTTGATAAAAAGAATAATAGTGTAATTGCTATAGCTAGTGGTTCAACGTAAAATATTTAAGATCTAGGTTATTAGATCCTAAATATTCAGAACATTTTATTAGCTGTCACATGTAAAGTAATCATTTATAATGTTGGTTTAATTCTTCTAAATATTTTGTTCACGTGGTAACATTTAAAGAGACTTATATGGCGAATCCATATGGACTTTTCCTCATAGTAGTAATTTATATAATGCAGCAATAAAAATACATAGAAACTATACCTGACCATGAATCTTATTCGCTTCCAATTTATTAAATGAGTAAACATATAGGGAGCCACGTTTTACAGTCATATTGTCGCCATCCTTGACGGACTTAACTGAGTGCTAAGGGAAACAATCGACAATATAAATATGCTTAAAAATTGAATATCCATAAATAAAAGGTATCACAAATATGCCACTTAGCCTTGAGCTTGACACTACTTAGGTTGGCAAGTCAACTAAACACAATTAAGAAAGAATATTTGGTAAGAGACAGGGTCTGCTAAAGTTTCTAAACATACACAGCAAAAGCACATTATGCCGAAAAATGATGGAAAAGGATTCGAATGGAATAGAATTTATAATGAAATCATATGACGAAAACAGACTAAGAGCATGTGAAATAATAAAAGTACAAAGTAAGAAACCGATAGAACATTTATTTGCCGTTTGACCGGCTAGCAGTAACATAACTCCCAAGTTTCACAAGATTAAGTAATGTGCACTATTTAAAGCAGTCATTTCATTAACTGTTTATACCCATTAATTAGGCAGAAAGTAATCTGGTTGTAACCTTAATGCTGTCCTAAGAGATTTTTGTTTGGATATACCCGGATCCCCACTATTACAAAATAAATACACTCGAGAGGTGATATATCATGTTAACGAAAAGCTGTAGGACGAGACTAATATATGTAATGTTTAAAAAACCACTATATTTATCATATTTGACTAGGGGTGTTCGAAATATTTCTCAAAAAAGAACAAAACCACAAGAAAACGGTGCTAATATAAATGGGAAAGTCTCAAACAAAGTAGAAGCTAGTTAATGTTGTATAACTATTAATTCACATGATAAGAACCATGATCTGTTATCTCAAACTTCTTTGGATGCGCTTACCAGAGTACGAGGAAGGTAGTAGGAGGTTGAGTTACACGACTAAGACATACCGACATTTTATTAAGCCAGTGAATGTGGTTGATTCATGTTAAAAGGGAAAGACTTCCTGGTCACAGTTAATGAAAAAATTAGGATCCCAGAATTAATTGAGTAGCTATGAATCAGCGGTGTGACCAGACTTCGTTACGCAAGTGATGCATTCAGACGCATATAAACAAGCAGACGAGGCTCATCGCTACACATATTGAAGGGCTATATTGAAAAACTGTTAAACATAACATTTCAGTAGTAAGTTATACAGCTATCACTTTTACATCAACTAATTTCGGGAAGATGAACCCCCGTACAATTGCTCAAAACTGGGTGACAAAATAGAGTAAGAGTACAAAACAAAACTTGTGTATTTTGAAACTAACAGATGGATGTTTGAGGAAACGTTTTTCAGCAAGGGATGTTGAAGTCATATCAACCCGTTCAATACTACTTGGGTGAGATCCTACATCCTAAAACCAGTATCAAGAACATTATGAAACACTCTTACATGCAAAGATACAACTGGTACGAGTGATTCTAGCTGGAATAAAGGCTTCCGACTCCAAGGATTTTCGAAAAGCCTCTGCTGGTCTACTAGAGCCGCCATATCAGGCTTCGAACGTCTTGCAGATGGTTTTCTCTGTAAAAAAAGAGAATTGGTTACTAATAAATGACTATGCTCCCAACTAGATTATTGAGTTCTTCAGAAGCCATAACTTTCTTGGACTAGAACTTCCTTTCATGACATTGTAACGCACACAGTATTTAGAGCGCGCTATCTGATGATGTAAATAACAACACATGCCACTTCAGTTCCAGTTTGAAAAGGACAGGAGATCAGGAAGCTCCCGTTAGTCTTGGTAGTGGCGGTCTCTCAGTTAATTCAACTTCCTTTTGAAAGCGTAGACAGATCGAGCTTCAATCACGTGTTGAGTTAATGCATACCATTCGTTGATGATTCGATGGGGAAGTCGATAGTCAGCTGACAAGTAATCTGTTCTGGGATTGTGAACGCTTTAGAGTGTCGTCGTAAGTTTTCTGCTCCGAAAGACAGGAAGAGTGAGAGCATATCAGATTCAAATTTATCACTAAGTAATCTCAAATCTGTGGTCGAGTCACCTCTTGTTCTTTTATATGACAATGGAAATAGGTTTAGTTTGGCCAGTCGGGCATCATACAGGAGCTTTACCATCCCGAGAATCAGCTTAGTTGCGGTTTTTCGAACCCTTTCCGACAACTCACTGCCTCTTTTTGGCAGGAGCTAGTCACTTGTATGCAATACTCGAGTTTAGGACGAACGAGTACTGTATACGAAATCAAAAGTGTTTTAGCATCGACATGGCTAAAGGCCTTACATATTGACCATAAGGTTCTAAAACCTCTATCGGCTACCTCACAGTAGTTTGCAGTAGTTTCGAAGTCTTAGCTAAGGATGACTCAGAAAAATCGTACGGATGCCTAGATTAATCATCTAGGCACAGTTTTTCAGCTAGATAAATTTGATTACAGCTGTACACCTTGTTGACGCTCGACTGAGAGGTCCTGGCTGCAATTAAACTCGACTCGATTTCGTAATTGTGGCAGTCTGTATGGCAACAAATCAGAATGAAGTGAAAATTATCATATCCAACACCTTTGTAAGCATCGGCAGTCAATTTTCTTCGTTCCGTTTTTTCCCACTGTTTTTTTCTGTTGCGGCTAAATTTGGTGTTTTGCAGTGCTGAAATATCCGTTGTTAGTATAATGCTCTAAGTGTTGTCACAAATTTTCTTTGAATCAGCCTAGTTTTCTAGGGTTTTTCTGCTGCTACTAAAGTCAGTCTATTTCTTCAGGCAAGCTCGCTTGTCTTATGTCATAAAATGTTAATCCGTTTTATTTTTAGTATTATTTTGTAGATATCGAAAGCCAAAGTTAGTTTTTTCAGCGAAACTTAGTGTTGTTGCCGCATGGGACACTCATTGTCTACATGTTCGTTCCTAACTGTCATTTATGATGTTATCGAGAAAATGATCTCCGGTTTGTTATTTTCTTCAGTATTATGGATAATTCAAACCTAATAACGAATCAAACTAATACTGCTTACCCAGTAATTGCGGATACCAGTGATGTTTTCGAAAGGATTATGAAACCCAGGCACCTGACAAGCAGAAACCAAATCAGAGATGCTATCGATCTGTTGCAGAAAGTTTGTTATTAAAAATACACTACCTAACAATAATAGATGAGTGATACGCAATAGGCACGTATCTTAAGATATGAGATCCTATCGGCACAGTGCTGAAATGGTGTAGCAGTAGAACTTTCTTATTGTTTCCATTAAAATAGAAATTAAAGTCTTTTTAAATGTATTTGTTAAGTTAATATCCATATCCTATGTTTCAGGTAATCGATGTAAATAATACGCGCGATGTGCATCTGCTGTATATTGCCGTTGTACTCTCATTTTTAAATTCTATTATTATTAATGGATTTTTCAATATTATATTTTGGTACAACATAGAATTCTCAGCACGAGTTATTTCAACAAATCTTACTCCCGATAAATATAAGCGTTATATTTAGTGAATATAGGCTTATTTGCTATGATGGCGATAAGTGGGGGGGGTCATTGCATATTTAGTAGGACTGTAACGGTATTTTCACCGGAAACCTAAGGGAGCGCGTAGACCCCTGTGCGATACTTTACTCGGTATCACCATGTTCTTATTGCTCCGTAAGTGTAGTAAAGGCACTGATTGCATATCAGGGCACCCCATCAAGCATCCATGGGATTAGATGCGTGTCCATCCACAAACTTCCGTGACAAGTCATGGTGGTTGGAATATGTTATAAGAAGTCCCGGAATGTAGGCTTTCTAAGAAAATAACGAAGATGTGAGCGAGACTATAATTTATGGACGAACCAATCATGTATAATATAACAGGTCTCGAATTTTGGCGCGAAATTCACTCACCCATTTGGATAAATAGATTTTTGCCATTAAAGCTTATGAAAACCCGAAATTTAATTCCTCAGCTTAATCATCAACTGTAAATTATGATTCTAGTTCCTCAAACAGGTTCATAACCGTAATTTGGTTCTGTTTGTTAAGTGCACTCAATGAACGCTACCTTATAATACATGGCAACAACAGCATTCATGCTACTTTTCTTCATATTTACAAGCAGATTGATTAGAATCGGTATACTCAATAAAGGCGGGCTGATATGGGAGTTGCATCAGTCTTAAATGTGATGTATAAATAAGTGATAAACACGATATATCAATATAACGTCCTCGTGATTCCTCCTATTCTGCACAAAGTCTAAGCTCACAACATTATCTTCCTGGAGTTACATACACCGTAATGCATACATAATTTCACACTAGTCGTTTTCTGGTTGTGACGCTTCGGCATGCTAAAGGAAATGGATGAGTACCTTTACTTACTAAACTGATCTCCTTCATTATTTGCCCCAAACACGATACCGAAGTATAGTATGATTGTATCTAACGAAGTTAGTTACACGATAACCAAGAATACTAAATTAAGCATGTGTCATGTTCGTTGTTTCATTTGCGCAAACATGTTACTCAAAGTAGTTAAATGTAGTTAATTAAGCTCATAAACTCAGAACACGAACTATAGGCCAGTACGACTTAACAGAGGACAAAAGATATTGTTTTGAGACTGAAGGCAACAGTTTACAGTATTTTACAGCACAATGACTCTTTCTCCAGTAACATTATTCACTGAAGGTCTACTTAAAAACAACGATGTGATTAAACTAATTATAACTTAAAACATTATTCCAGGGTGCAATTTATATCCGGCGTAACACAGTCAGAGGCGGCAAATAAAAATTACATCCATAGCAAAATTCACAGCACATACTAGTTTCTTAATAAAAAATAATCATAATGTGACAAGTCAAGTGACCACATGAACGTGAACATAATTGTTATTCCAGTTTGCGATAAATAAGGTTTACGTGGTGACTTCGAGTTTAAAACTACCTAAAGTGTTTTATTCGCATTGACAAATCGCCTTCAAATGCTATATTACTTAATTTATATAACAGTTGGTTGTGAGAAGCTTTTTAAAAAAACCTTAATGAAGTTAATGTAGATGATACTTATAGGTAAAGTTCAGTTATTGAGATATAAATCACCGGTTCTAAAGTTATACTGATTTTCAGAAAGAACCCGGTTTTCGTCGAGATACCTAGACAACGCCTACTGAATAATCTTTGTTAAGATTTTAAAAACTATGCTAGTTAGGTTTACGAGTTTATAGTTCTCAGGCTTATGTCTCGTATATGTTTCAAAGATACGACTTACTATAACACTCTCCTAGTCTCTAGGTAATCGACCCTGGGTTACAGATAGACTAAAATATATACTTAAGGAATTCGCGACACAATTTGCTAATTCCCATAGTAATCCATGGATTTTCCTATATTAAGGTCATTTAACAGACAAAAGACATAGCGTCCAGTATGTGTATATGTGAGTAGGCTGAAGAGCAGTGTATCGCCGCGGTATATACATTGCCAAAGTAATTTTAGAATAACCGAGCTTTGCTATAATCTTCCTCCACTGATGATGCAGTACTACTGTCTTTCCATGATACTGGAATGTTTTATCTTCCCTTGGTCCTACGGTAGGTCTTTTGACATGTTCTTCTTCCCACAACCTGCTAGATTGGCGGAGGGTCGAGGTAAAAATAGTTCGAGCTTCCCAACATTAAAATTTCGTTTCGTCAGTATCCAGTAACCTGTCTCTCGCACGTTCTTCGCCTCTTACAGAGAAGGGTGCTAAACTGTCTACTGAACCACGGTGGAGTTTGTCGAACCCCTCGGTGTAGTTCAAGGCATGTTTGGTGCAGTGACCCTTACTCATAAATTTCCCACCAAATCCCAAATCGTTTCAACGAGGGATTCTGGTTCTATTGACCAATCTACCAAGGAGGCTATATGTATAATATCTTGCATATTTGCTTTCCAGCCGTTTGGTCATACTTGAGCTGACACATCCTCATTATCGAAAATTACATGGAAACCGAAGTCTAGAACTGCATGACCACTTTTACCTAGGGGTGGAGGATAACAGGGCATTGGGCTATCATCTTCATAATGGGTTATTGTGAGACGTGATAAAGATTCGAAGAAGATCCGAAGAACATACAAATTGATTAGTTCTGCACCCAGAGTAGCTTCAGCGTCATCATCTGTCAAGGCGTCACCACCCAAAAACCTTCAATTCTAAGGCCCTTCTCGCGATTATCTCGCCTTAGTTTTACTTTTTTCAATTTCTCTTCTTTTCATACGGACAATTCTTTGCGGACAAATACTCCTGATCCCGTTGGTTTATGTCGATTCTCTAGTTTTATGGCACTCACTAATTTGGATGCTACTTTTAGCAGCCTGATTTGATTCTGTCACAAGTCCATTTGGCTACCTAGTTTATAAACTACGATAAGTCTTCAATTTCTCAGCTACCGTTTGGTGTATTGAAATTTCTTATTCTTGATCTGTACCTACTCATCAACCTTCACTGAGTAGCCATCACAGTCATGTTACACACACTGTGGAATCCTGGGCGATAGTCGATGACTTAGGTATTCAAGTTTTTACCTTTAAGGACATAAATGACTTAGCATTGCTATCCAGTTTTGAAGACGTTCCCTGCACACTGTCACTCCGAGGATTAGGGACAGAATAAAATCCCTTTCTTGAGGTTTCACTTCTAACATACCCCTTTCTAGGTCATCCTTCCT